AAAAGGACCATTTCCTTCATATTATGTCCAAAAGTATTTACTTCAAAGGTAGATAAAGTTCATTACAGTTTATGCACAGTTTTATTAGATACTGTCAAATTCACTTGTTTCAAACATCTGTGAATGTTGACAATGCGAAGAGTTCATGAGTGTAGCCTACTGTAGACTAATGTAGCTTAGATTAATGAGATAGATTAGAACCAACAAAGATTCAAAAACATTTGAAAGCATTTTAATGTATTTGGGTATAGCACAAAAGTAGATATTTAGGTATTTTTGAGAATTTTAAGGATAATACCAATTTGATTAACGATGTACATTTATCCCAAACGGTCTGAGAGGAGGAAGTGACAGCACTTCCTGGTTCAACAAAATGTATTTGGAAAAATGAGCAAAGCCCCACAAAATGGCCCAAAGCCACTGATAATGAAAGCAAACCACAGTATAGATAGATTTATTAGATAAAAACATATGTTTAAGAATAGGGCTCAATAAAAGCAAAATATGCAAACATATTTGTAAATAGATTAGAATACTTTAAACTATAGTGAATAGTTTTAGTGCATACATTACAGACGAGGTTGATGAAGACACAGCAGTAGTCATCAAATAGCAGAGGTGGGACAAAGTCATTGTTTAGCAAGTCACAAGTCAGTCTCAATTCATTGCCCTCAAGTCCCGAGTCAAGTCACGAGTCAAGACAGGCAAGTCCCGAGTCGAGTCCAAGTCAAAGGCCAACAAATCTCAAGTCAGTCCCAAGTCCTACGGTTTGACTTTCGAGTCCTCTCGAGTCTTTTTGACCGCGATTTGTTTCTTGTTGGTCTCCACGTACTTTTGTAGGCAAACAAAATAATGTTAGGAATCATTTTGCTGGTGCATTCTCGTTGGTCTCTGACCCATGGACTAACAGTTTGTTCCATGTCGTTGGCTGCTGATAAATCAAAACTATCTACGTGATCTAATTGGATGTTGTGCCAGATGCAGGCTCAGTTACACATGCACAGACCACACATAAAATCAGAGCAGTCCGTGTCAACATACTTTTTATCTTTGGGGTTTTTAATGGGAAGTAGCAATTGCAGCATATATGAATATGAGTATTGGGCTAGGACCTGTATCTATATAATCAGTTTAATGTCCGTAGTGGTTATTGTTCCAAATGTCCTACTGTAGAATAGGGGTAGTATGAGGGGTCTAGGCTTTGGACCTGGGGCAGCTCGCCATCAACTGGACCAGCATTAGCAATATCTCATAATTACCAATATATCATTACATAATAAAATGTCTCATATAAATTAATTCAATCAGTCAAAGCACTGATTCTCATATCAATGCACCATAAACAATAGTGCAAATATTAATCTAGCTTAGTGCACATAATCAAAACAACTATCTAATGTATGCAAACTTTAGCAGGAGGAGCACAGCAAAAACATACTCATAATAATAGGCCTCGGCGCCCACACAGAAAAATATAAGAAAGAGCTAACAGAGCAGCGCAGGCTAGCGCTAGTTTGACTCACCAGTTCCTCTTTAAAACACGGCACACAGTGTGACAACTGCGTCGATTCAATTGTATGAGGCGCCTGTAGTGAAAGCATATCAATTACGGTTTGTAGAACAAAATATGACGTTAGGTCGCGATAAATACCTGCAGCTCGCTCATTTCCAGCTCCCCTAGACAACACACCCACCGGTGAATGCAGTCCGCTTGTTTAGGGAAGTGTTGCTGCGCGAACTGCGGGGAACTCACGTTCGAACTCTCGCGCGAGCGCTACAACTACCGCGAGGCTTTGTTTTTTCAGAGACGGCATAGATAGAAAGAGAGATGCGGAGAAAGGTAAAAATGGCCCGGGTTACGCAAGTCTTTACAAGTCAATTGGCGCAAGTCCAAGTGAAAGTCAGAGTCATTGATGTTAAAGTCCAAGTCGAGTTGCAAGTCTTTTTATATTTGGTCAAGTCGAGTCTAAAGTCATCAAAATCATGACTCGAGTCTGACTCGAGTCCAAGTCACATGACTCGAGTCCACACCTCTGTCAAATAGTATTGAAGGAATGGTTAAAATGTGGTTTGTTGTGTGTGTATTCTTTCTGTATTAACTCTTCACAGATATCAAGCCTGAACTAAGCACAAGTATTGATGATAAACGACGATGTGGATTGTGACCTAATTTTTAATCAGGTCAAAAGAGGGAAACTGTTGTATAATTAAAATGTTGTATACTAATGATTTTCAGTAGGTGTTTGCATACCATGTCTTTGTGCAAATATTAAGCCTGGATCTAGGGGAATTCAGAGAAGGACCAAGCCCGGACCAGACCTCCCCCAGCCAGATAAGAGTTGTTTGGAGAAGGGCTTCTTCCTTATAAGGAAGAAGCTATAGGTTGGAATGTGTGAATCCCTTTTTCGGCAGCCCCCAAGGACGAGGAGAGCAAACAGGAAGACCAGCCTCAGACCAGACCAGACGAGGGCCAGAGAGGGACATGGATTAGCTTTTAAGAGCTCTCTTTTGTTGAATATTCTGTATCTGATTGTAAAGATAATTAAATGCAGATGTTAAACTTGGAGAATCTTTTTGTCTGATTTCTGTATCAAATTGTGGACACGTCAGCCAAAGGGAATTATTGGCTACACTTGCAAAAGCATTTTGTGTGTTTTGTTTTGAAGTGTTGCTTTAGCAGTGTGTTTGGGGTCATTGTCCTGCTGGAAGTTGAACCTCCGTCCTAGCCTCAAATTACGCACAGAGTGGTGCAGGTTTTGCTCAAGATTATCCCTGTATTTAGCACCATCCTTCTTTCCCTCAACTCTGACCAGTTTCCCAGTCCGGCTGAAAAACATCCCCACAGCATGATGCTGCCACCACCATGTTTCACTGTGGGGATGGTGTTCTTTGGGTGTGTTGGGTTTGCGCCAGACATAGCGTTTTCCTTGATAACCAGAGCACCTTCCTCCATACATTTTGGGAGTCTGCCACATGCCTTTTCGCAAACTCAAAACGTGCCATTTTGTTTTTTGCTGAAAGTAATGGCTTTCTTCTGGATACTCCATAAAGCCCAACTCTATGGAGCGTATGGCTTATTGTCGTCCTATGTACAGATACTCCAGTCTCTGCTGTGGAACTCTGCAGCTCCTCCAGGGTTACCTTAGGTCTCTGTGCTGCCTCTCTGATTAATGCCCTCCTTGCCCGGTCCGTAAGTTTTGGTGGGCGGCCGTCTCTTGGCAGGTTTGCTGTTGTGCCATGTTCTTTCCATTTGGTTATGATAGATTTGATGGTGCTCTTGGGGATCACCAAAGATTTGGATATTTTTTTATAACCTAACCCTGACTTGTACTTCTCAACAACACTGTTCCAGTACTTGTTTGGAGAGTTCCTTGGTCCTCATGGCAGTGTTTGGTAGTGGTGCCTCTTACTTAGGTGTTGCAGCCTCTGGGCCTTTCAAAAAAGGTGTGTATATGTACTGACAGATCATGTGACACTTAGATTGCACACAGGTGGACATCATTTCACTATTTATGTGACTTCTGAAGGTAATTGGTTGCACCAGAACTTTTTATGGGCTTCATAACAAAGAGACATATGCACATGCCAATTTCCAGTTTTTTATTTCATAAAATAGTTTTATGAATATATTTTTCTCAACTCACGTCACCAACTTAGACTATTGTTTTCTGATCCATCACATGAAATTCAGATTTAAAAAACATTGAACTAAAGGCTGTAATGTAACAAAATAGGTAAAAAGTCAAGGGGGTGAATACTTTTGCAGAGAGTGTATGTTTACATGTGTGTACGAGGCAAAGGACAGAGAGTGTGTGTTTGTGTGTATGAGATAGAGGACAGAGTGTGTGTTTACGTGTGTATGGGACAGAGGACAGAGTGTGTCTTCTTAAGTGCTCTTGAATGTCAGTTCCTATCTGCAGCCTGTCCCTGAGGCGCAAATGGACACTCCATCCCCTTGTCAGGTGATTAATCTGAGCCGTCTCCTCTGTCTTCCATTCTCAATGTTCACAGACGTATACAGCTACACAGGCCCTGGCACTGATGAATGCTCAATAACGCGTCATGTTGTAGTGATTTACTCTGTATTTGGGCCACATTAGTCTAAGTCTAGTCTTGGAACTATCTTTTCAAGATTTATCAACAACCAACTAATTCTAATCAGTAATTCTATTGAATACTGCAGAGGTGTGTTGACAGGTGAATTTAACCAATCATATTGGTTAATAATAAATATTGATCTGTATTATTTATGTATTTTTCCCAACTATAGAGTCATGCTTTGGGCCATGACTTTACCAAAGGGATTTTCCCATGACCAGATTAACATTTGACCCTGGAGTCGGCTAAAGCAGTTCTGTAACTTCCCATGAGCTCAACTGTGTGTGAAGACCTCTGTGTCATGTGTCAGATTCTGTGATTCCTTCCCCATGAACTCTTTATTTGCTTTAGTCAATTACAACAACTTCAGAATTATGTCTCTTGAAAGAAAAAAATTAAAAAATATAATACAATGTTGGCAGATTCATCAAAATTACCAAAACAAAAAACTTTTGGGAGAAATTCCCTTAACAGATGTGAGTGTGAGGGATTCATGCAGGAGTTCATGTTGTTCAGACTCTATGTAGCAGTATGTACGCTCTGTATGAGCAGATCGGTAGACCACTTCTTGGTGCATACCTTCAATGGGCCAAAGTTAAACAACCTCAACAATTTCCCACACTGTAAACCCAAATATCAGCCTTACCTAAAATGATTGATCATATTTAACTTGATTTTTCTCCAAGTTCACAGTTCACCCACACACAATTGGTAACCTTTACAATTCATGTCAAAATCAAACTTTTAAATGACATAGTTGAGTTTCATTTCATAAGTGTTGGTGTGTATCGTCTGTGGTATTTCTGTGTCAGACAATACTTGAAAGGTGTCTGTAAAGTCAGTACTTTACTTAAATTAATAAACAAATGGGTGCAGGTATTACTTGAGTAAGCTTTTACGACATGCGCAGTTCAGTTTTTCACCTCATGGCTAGAGTCACTTCCTGCCTGGCGCCATCTTATGCACCGCGCACATGCAACAGAGCACTTGGGTGTGAGGTCGTAATCTTCTTTGCAGGTAAGTAAGTATTCGGTTTTTTGTTTTAATCAATTATTTTCACTCTTCAGGTGATATGCATTTGTTGAATTGTGTTAAGTGCTGTTGTAAAGTAAGACTAGTGGAGAAAACGCGTGTAATTCGCTGTGTAATATGAGTTTGAAAAGCATTTTTAAGTATGGCCAAATGCACCTCTACTGCTGTGGTCTCCGGTGATACAGGGGCTTTGCTCCCTGCAGCACCGCTGACTGCAAGGAGCTCGGGGTTCTTGGTTTGCGCGGGCTTGTGGGAACGCAGGGGCCACCAGCGTTCCCACAAGGCCGCGCGGGCTCTGGTGAGGCTGGGGCCACCTCCGATGCTACGAGGAGCGTGGCCCAAACATCACCGGAGACCTCAGCGGACATGTGCGCGGGCCCATAGTAATATCCTCCGCTGCAGTCAGCGGTGCTGCGGGGGCCACGCTCTTCGTAGCACCGGAGACATGCAGGGGAGGTGTGCGCGGGAGTGGGAGGATCCATTGTGAGGTGCTTGGCTCCCGCATAACAGGAGACATGCAGGGGAGGTGTGCGCGGGCCCGTAGTAACATAACAGACAAACGTTTGCATACAGACATCTTGTTTAACAATATAATTATAATGTTTTTACTCATCCGTTGTCTATAGTTGTGTTTTTCAACCAGTGTGCCAGGGAATGTTAAGTGTGCCATGAGATGTTATTCAATGTGCCTTTGCACTTCTGATTTTCCATATCATACACTGAGAATTACTTTGTTTTGTTAATAAAGGGTGCAGAGTAACAGTTTGTATCAGCTTCAGCTGGTGGTGTGCCATGAGATAGTTTTAAATTAGTTTTTAAATGATAGTTTCAAAAAGGTTGGAACACTGATGTACACTTAGTCACTTATTTGGATTGATTAATAATTATGTATGTGTATAGTTTGAAGCAAACCATTTTGACTAACCTTTTTTTCTTTTTTCATAGGCACACTGACTGGCATTCTGATGCAGAGGCCCTGTAAGTGTTGCAATTTTGTGGCTCAAAAAAGAGGTTACTTACTAAAGCATTTCCGTTTAAAACATGGGACCTTCACTCGATTGCCAAAAATATCAAAACTATTGCAAAGGCAGAATCTCGTAAGTGATTTATTTTTAAGCAACCTCTGACATATACTGCACTGTTGTACAAGACATAATCCATGTCCTAAATTTAGGCCAATGATGTAACTGAGCAACGACGCGTCATCATCGATGGCTTGGCAATTATTCTTGGAGATGACCCCAGCAAGCTTCTTCAAGACAAGTTCGGTAGGTGCCTGTTTCAATCAAGTGTATTGGCCGATCTCTCGTCTCTGTCTCATCTCTGTACTCTCGTCTTGTCATTCGCTACTTGCGCTATACAATAATGCATTACGAGCTGGGGGGTTGTCTACTATCAATCTCATGGACACAATTTTAAAACTGCTATGGAAAAGCGTATTATTAGCAACCATAAATCTGTAGAGAAGTTTAAACTCTACAAAAATACAAGCTTAATAAATGTTACTGTGTTTTTGATTTCATTTTGGTGAGTGTCCAGTTTCCTTGGATATCCAGCAGATGGCAACTGTCCTATATTAATAGAGCAAAAAAAACTACACCGTACTTTCTAAAGAGTGACTAAACACCTGTGCCCAGCCTCACTCTGCCCACATGAACATTTGAAAATGTTCTCTAAACAGGGTGTTCCCTGGAAGACCAAGGGACATGAAGGGGGCTGAGAGTTGGGCGTGGTCTGGGCTGTGATTGACAGCTCACCAGTCACACAAGACAGTTGTCATTGCTGCTTAAAAAAAGTTAACTCACCAGAAAGTTATTATTCTACCCTTGTTTACACACTAAGATTATTGTAGAGCTACACACCTGAATCTTAAGACACTGAATTCTCAGCATATTGTGGCTGTTGGCTGATGAAATTTAAAGTAGTACTAGAATTTAATATGCTGCTATCCAGAATATATAACTACAATATGTGTTTATAATATTTCGGGTGTTCATTTTTACATGTTCAGATGAATTATGTTTTAAAAACGACTTTGAAGTGGCACCTTTTCACAAACGCTAGGGGGAGCCAAAATGGCGGCGATGACGTAGGAGAATGACCTCACAGCAGCAGCAGCAGTCTGGGCTGAATCTGTAGGAGGTTTCTCTGTCATCTGAACAAGGTATAAACATATTTACATCAGTTTGTACATAATAGTGTGCAACTCTTTTAACCTTTTAGCCTTATTTGTGAGATTCAAGCTAATTAGTGTTGGACAAGTTAGCTAACTCTACTTGATATCATAAAACATGCAAAAATGCTAATCAAAATAACTTGAAATAAATATTTTACTTTTAAGAACAAAAAGCTGCAGATGAAAACATAGACTACATGTGATGCAATCATTGATAAAAATGCTAATTAAACCGTTAACAGGTGTTAGCATTTATGGCTATTACAATGTACATTGTGGTAAATAAATCTAAGGCAACCAAAGTGAGACTGGCATAATGTGAAAACGAATATTAGCCTTGTTAGAATGTTTTATGATATCAAGTAGAGTTAGCTAACTTGCCCAACACTAATTAGCTTGAATCCCACAAATAAGGCTAAAAGATTAAAAGAGTTGCACACTATTATGTACAAAACTGATGAAAATATGTTTATACCTTGTTCAGATGACAGTGAAACCTCCTACAGATTCAGCCCAGACTGCTGCTGCTGCTGTGAGAGGTCCTTCTCCTACGTCATCGCCGCCATTTTGGCTCCCCCTGGCGTTTCAAAGCAGTTTTTTAAACACAATTCATCTGAACATGTCAAAATGAACAATATTACAAACACATATAGTAGTTATATATTCTGGATAGCAGCATATTCAATTCTAGTACTATTTTAATCATCCACTAGATGTCACCAGAATAATCCCACCTGCTGCTGGGACGTGTGAGAGTTGAAGGGGTTTATATCACTGTGTCACACACACACACACACTGAGGTCACACAGTATTGGAGGCCAGGACCTAATTCAAATAAGCCAAAAAGGTTGAGAGGGCGTCACATTTTTGGCTCAAAAGTGAGATTTTATCTAATTTGCAATAAAATGTCAAATGACCGGGATACGTGGAAAACGCTACAATAAACATATTTATTAAGTTTGAGTTATAAAAAGTTGATTAGGTGTTAAGGCGCTCCTTTAAGCAACTCTTGTAGTTTCAAACTTTGCTAGGATTTTCCTGTCAACCTTCTCATCAGGACACACATGCTTTACAGCTCTCCCCCAAAGCTGCTATGGATTGTGGGATTTGTATTGAATACAGAAATTGGTTGCAGCAAAGCAAAAATAGATTTTCTGAATAACTAAGATGGAACAAAACTTATATATTGTATTTTATCCCCCTCAGAAAGCTTTGATGGATGAGACCACAGCGGCGCTTCTGATGGGTGTGCTCACAGTTGATGAAGACTTCCTACACCCTTCAAGTGCTGAGACCTTCCACCAAACAAGTAAAATGATCGCTATTGTCATCGAGGGCAACATCGTCATGAACAACATCAGTGATGTTCCCCAGGCTTTTTGCCTTCTGTTTGCTCTGACGTACGCCTTACATTTGGACTACCCAAGATCGATGCTCAACACGTTCAGGTGCATCCAGTCTGTGATGCTGGGACTGGGAAAACAAACTCTGCCACCAAAACTCCTGACTCTGAAGAACTACCTTTTGGCATAATTTGTTGGCTGTCTTTGTGTTCTTAGCCATTCAATTTGATGTTTTACAGGTACTTCAAGTTATTGCCCTGATTTGTTAGTGATAATTTTGGTCATGTGATGCGGCTTTTGCGTGTGGGAGCTGGGAATGCGCCTTACCACAGTGAGAAGGCACAGGTACCAGGACCTGTGCCTTCTCACTGCTGTGGTCTCTGTACAGTGATACAGAGAGCAGAAAGCAAACTACCACCAAAACTGTTGAGTCTGAACTACCTTTTGGCATTTTTTGGCTTGTTTTTATGTTCTTGGCCGTTTCATTTTATGTTTAAGTTATCGTCCTGATTTCAATAAGACTATTTCAGGATTTCTTTTGTACTGAATTATACGAGAAGTATATTTTATTAAACTTGGCAATGCACCTTTTATACATTTGTAGAGGGTTGTGAAAGTGCTTTTGACACTTGCAAAAAAAATAAATGTTCTGGTCTCAAAATTGTTTTATTGCATACAGATGGGATTGTCTTGTACAATAATGGATTATTAGAAGTTTCATTAACCAGGTTATAAGGTGTAATTATATTAAAATCCATGTTGGCATGTAAAGATAAAGGTTGCATTATTCATACAAGGTAAACCTTACTTAATAAAGACGACTGAGATATGGTACAAGGCGACAGTAGCTCTTAATAAATAATTCAAAGTAACCTTAAACAAATGTGGAAGGGTACAATTTTAATAACCTAAATTAGTAAAGTATACTTGGCAAAAAGTAGGGTTTCATAAATAATGTAAGTAGACTTTACACACTAACGATGAGTTATGTTTTACTAATTTATATTGGTAAACTTTAATTCGCACTGGAGTAAAGTTTCATCATTTATTGTTAGTAAACTTTACCTGGTCAAGAGTAAAGCTTAATACATTATCTCATGCAGACCTTACCTGATCTAATTGTTGATAACGGTTACTCAATAAAATCATGTGCAATTAGTGTCCACACTTTTTTTGAGTAAGGGTTACCAATCAAGCTTTACAGTGCATGTGCTTTTCCACAGTGCAGATAGATTGTAAACGCAACTCACTCACAAATGACGTACATATTGTCACACATATTGTGATTTTATTGATTTGATTAATAGTCAGTACCTGGCATCTGTACAATGCAGCACACAGTGGTATATACAGTAGTATATACAGTACATACTGTGCAGTAATAGGCCACTACAGTACCTGCCTGCTCCCCTGTCTTTACTGTCACCTCTGGTCCTCTAAAGTGCCAGACATCTGATTGTAAAGAAGAGGTTATGTCTGTCAAGACCTTGCTACATTATCATGACTGTATCTTTACAGTGTGGCATTTCCAGAGAACAGAAACCTTTGATTTCCCCATCCTGCTCTCCCCTAGCTCCAAAAGGCAAAGTGCGTTTAATGAGTCATGCTTTGCCATCTCCATCTTGTAACTTTCAATACAGGGGACAATGAAATTTCACTGGCCCGTACAGTGTAATCCTAGGCTTTCTTAATGTAATTGGAAATCAAGCAGTCCCCTTTAGACTGTCCTTTTATTATTCAGCCAGCTGGATGGTTGCGCGGCAGACAGTGTCTTTATAGGATTCTAATAAGGAAGAGTTGAGAGCCTTTCAAAGTGGGTCACTAATAAAAGGTGCTATATTGGAGCTGGGTTGTCTTTTACAATTCCTGATGACTGTGCTTGGACAGTGGTCTTGGAATTCACTTCAAAGTATTGATAAAGACAGGAGTTTGATGGACTTTTGCACATAAATATTTACAACAGGTCACAAAAAACCTTTTTGATATTGTCCACTCTTGTGTAGACAATAGTGCAACTTTTGTGTTGAAATCGTCCACCAGCCGGTCTCCGCAGATATATTTTTTGTTTTGGAGTTAGTTCAGGTGATCTTGCTTGGTTTTACATATATCATTTAAAAGTACTTTTTTGCAATGCATGTGCAAAAAAGCATTATATTCTTCCATTGTCTGAAACTGGCCACATCATACATCATTTTTTTTAAATTTATTATTGTCACCTCTTTTGGACACTTTCATGAGTAAATAATTAACCCATAGTTGATACATACTGACAAAGAGGATGTGGAACCTTGACAGTCCTGCTTTTGACAGTTACCATAGTTACCAGGAAATATCTATCAGCTGCCCTTCGCCACAATTTTAAAGTATATGCTCTTTGGAATGTTGCGATGTCACATGAATGCAACCGATTCAAAATATTACAACCGTTTTTCCTAATTCCTTATAATACTGATGATTGTTCCATTAAACGTCAAATGGGACTGTTTACATTAATTGCTCGATATAATTCTATAGTTACAACGAGAGCAGCTCTACTGGATATTGTCACCATGAGAAGCAGACAGTGGAGATTATGACGCGGCCGTCCCTGAGTCTGTGCCAAATGAAAACTTTTCTTCTCCCCCTCTACATAATTATCCAGTCTCTCTCCACCTCCCGGCTTCGCTCTCCATCTCCAGCTGTTGCACTGCTTATTCACACATAATTACAATCTATTTAGGAAGACATCAGTGAAAGGAATTGTGCTTTTGGAGGCTCATTTGCTCCTAAATTAACTTGTGCTCAGAGCGACACAAGTACAGTAGTAGAATAAGACCTTCTAATTTTACGAATTGTGTGCGAGAAAGTCATAATTAGGAGAACAACAGCCGCCGCGCGCACCACTCTCCAACTCCAGACTCCAGACTAGAGTTTGATTAACTGGGGTGCCGCTAATTGAGTTGTTGGTTTTTACGGGGAAATAGTGTGAATGGCAGTGAAAGCCTCGCTGGGTGTGTTAACGGGCATACTAAAAATGTCAGCTTCATAAATCTTTTTCAGCCTTAGAAAAAAAGGACAATATTAGAAAAAAATCCATTTGGGGCAACAAGAAAATGCCTATGTCTAAAATTATATATATATATACATATATTATGTTATTTTTTTGCTAACATTTTTATTTAAACGTTTAGGAAGTAAGTATGTAGGCCTGTCACAATAATTACTAAATATTGAATAATATTTCTAAATTAATAATAAATAGGATTTCTTGCTTACTAAATTCTAAATGGAAAGAGCACACGTGCTGATGAAGCCTTGCATGTCAAAACCTCACTCAACTTTTTAACAACTGATTTCCTTTTATTGCATGCTTTCACACAAAGAACGTCTTTCAGTGATGCAGAATTTCTCTTTTTATTATAGTTATAAACTTCAACTAATTGGATGCAATTGATTGAAGTCCACCTGAGGCTGGATTATTCTAATCAAGCAAATCTTAATGGTGATGCTTATCGCAAAGGGATATAAATATTCTTAAAACAAATATATAATATAGATAATACTGCAAGGCCATATGGTCAACAACATGAGATCTTTCTAAAATGAGATACAGTACTAGTGACGCAGCAGAAATCACTCTTTAGACACTATTTCAGTCTAAATTGACTTGTGTGCTGTTTCCTCTATGTCCTCACAGTATATTTCCAAATGGGAGCGGATGTGTCTGTATGCAGCACATCAAGATTCAAAAGTAGCATGGTGTTAAATCTGGTGCCGCCATCTTTTTAATGCAACTGCACATTGTCCTTAATAAATCAAACTTCAAACAGTAAGATGTGAGGTGGCCACAGGAGGCAGACACACATTCATCTGAGCTTTCCAACCTACATGTATATTTTCTTCACCGCACAATTATATAACAAAAAGTGAAGTTAATGGCTTTTCTCACAGTCTGACGTTCCGCTGCTCCTTGGTCCTGAACATCATCAGAATTAAATACCTTGAAATTACAAGATTTAATTAAACTAAATACTGCAGCACTGATGTTTCCAAATTGTATCCAGGAGAGATTTACATTGAGAGAGACGCACCATTATCTCAGAGGGAAGGATTCGTACCAAAAAACCAAGACCAGGACCAATATTAAAAACCACTGCATCTCATGTAGAGGAGTAGATTTATGGCTCAAACTCGATAACCAGTTAAAGGTAACTACATCCATAAAAATGTTTAAAAAAGTAAAAAGCAATTGTAATTGATACTTATAAAACTTCAGAATGATGCCCTTTTGGAAAAAACTTGAGCTATGTGTATGTTAGTTCATTTATGCATACAGTATATGTGTATGTTTATGTTTGTGTATATATATATATATATATGAATGTATATGTGTGCATATATGTGTTGTTATGTTCTTTTTCTTTCTCTGGCACAGTCACTTATCATTCCTGATTCTACCAAAATCACCAGAACTCCATTCTGAGGTCAGTTTGAGAAATTATCTCAACAAAAATCTGGTTTGGCAGTTCCTCTTGTGTCATCGCTCCAGCTGCACTGACAAATTGAGAATGAGGGTAGACACCTCCCTCCAATAGGTCCATAAAGTCTTGTCTTTTGAATGCACTCCACAGAAGGTTCCAGACACAGAGGGCGCTGCAGCTCTCATTGCACCACACGTTGTAAAAACAATAAAGATTACATCTATTATTGCGATGAACTATGGAACATAAATTGATAAGAACTGCTATTTTTTTGTTTGTTTGCATCAACAAGATAAAAATGATGATGGTAACTTATAAGCTTTTTGCTTCTGCCTTCTCCTTTTGAGCTTTTTCTGTCTTTCTTGAATTATATGTGCATGTTAAAATATATAATATATATATATAAAATACATTGTAAAACTGCTCAAATAAAAATACTACTAGTACCACAAGTACAACGCTGAAAGTCTTGGAACTTGTTTTTATCAGAATTGGTCTTACTAAGCAAACAGAGCGGCCGTCCTGTTTGCTTTGGTTTCTGCCATGGTTTATTAGAGGAACAGTCAGGCCATGTTGGAGGAGTCTCTGCTGGAAAACCCTTTATTTGATCAGCAGAAAAGAGTCAGGAACTATCAAGGATGAAATTTGTTCTGTGCAAACTGTCAAAACAAGCCTCGATACAAGCACAACTTTTGGGCCGTTTCTTTTACTTGAGCATGACCATTGTTGCAAGAAGTGTTTTTGACAACACAACAATCTGTTGACACATACAGAAGAAGTAAACTTTTCTTTTTCACATCAGAACAAAAACATTTTCTTTTTCAATAGGAGACATTTAAAACAATGTTACAACATTGTTCCTTTACCAAGATCCAGCTACGCTAAAATCAGGAACTTCTGGCACAAATGTGTGACTCTGCTCCTTCTATCTAAAAGCTCCTGTCTCAGTCCTCTAATAGTTTGAGGTCATTATGACTCTATGACAGTATCGCCCATTAATTAGTTTTGGTAATTTCTTTAAATCTTTACAATCACACGGTTGTGTTAAAAAACAAATTCAACTCTTCCTTCTGGTGGTAGCATAGGGAGTTACAGGCGGAAAGCATTTATGACCTCTAAGACTTGTTTCGCCATATATGTTCAAAGATATTCTTTCACATGATAAAGTATGAAATGACAAAATAAATATTGTGATATCGTTAATGGGCAAAATTAATGCTTAATATTTCTTATTTAGTGCCTTTTTCATGCAGCATTATGAAGATCATTTCCCATTCAAAAGATAGAGAATTTTCTTTTTAATTTTTAAGCATTTGTCCTCCTTTTTCATCCATCTGATGGATTTTCGATATATTTGCATAAAGATTATCTGGTGGATCTTCAGGAACTCATTGTTATCGATATGAAAAATATACCAACCTGTAATGTGTGTGCTTGTGTGTGTGCGCGGGTGCTTGTGCGTGCTTGTAAGAGATTATGTATCTAACGTTTTCCAAAATGTAATCTGATAGTGTAGTAGAAAACTATTATATTCAATACAAATGATTACTTTAAAGCTTTTCACATGACATTTAAAGAACTCTCGCTTTCTCCACAAACTTAATATTCTGGACATGTCCATGTTGAGTGCAATAACGGCCAAGGTGCCCCTTCGCTGGCCACAAGCTGCCAGTCGTTCCCATAGAGATGATGTGTAACCCACAAGTGAACGACTTCTATTAATGCAGCCCATTGATGAAGGCGAGCCAATCCATTCTTCAACACGCAGGTCAAAGAAATCATCAGCGCCATCACTGCCACCAGCATCACGGCTCTCCCTGCCTCCCACCAAACTCCCAGAACAAGCCAATTAAATCTTCAGTCTCCATGTGAAATAGCAGTTCTTTCATCTTGCCAGCCTTCACATCATGCACAGGGACATGCTTCTAGACACGTGTTTAAGGCCTGTAATTCCCCAGCGCATGGGAGACTCTTCTTTGTGATGGCCCCCGCTGGCTAATAACTTTTAGTCATTTTTCATTGTTCAGGAGTGACACGTTCAAAATGCAGATGTAAAACTAGGGAACAGTCGCTATAAGACAGCTTCTACATGGACATAGAGAGGTGCATACTGTACATCGGTCTATGTCCTGGCATTGTCACAAGAAAGGAAACACGATTGCATTGTTTTTCCACAATGATTGTTCAGTGCTTCTGTCTCTTGTCTCTTGTCGAGCAGTCGCCTTGTTCCCGGGTGTGATTAAATGCAGTAGTAATGAATGTGGATGGAGCTCTGTTGTTCGGCCGTGCTGAGTTCCAGCTGAGGGAGCCATTAACCTGTTAGCGGCATTGCCTCTGATTTTCGCATTCTACACCTGCAAACTTTTGGGGAGTTATCTAATCCTGCTAGCTGGTGAATTAATCTTTGTTAGGAGGCTAAACTTGGAGGCGACGACATAAGAAACATCTGGTGCAATCTGTCTCGGTACAGTGGGGAATGTGCTGCTAAAATAAACTTGTTTGTGTGTTCCAGACCAGTGCGGTGCTGTGTTCGGGAGGCTGTGCACTTCTGGCTGTCAGCTCCCTGTTGGCCATCATCACCATCTTTCTGCCCAGCGGAGGCTGCGAGCGCCGGGCCTGCTCTCTGGCCGGATACATGCAGATGGCAGCAGGTACACACAAACACTCACACACACACACATGCACACGCACGCACGCACACACACAAACAACACAATGACAACCCATAGTTTCAATTCAATTTATTTTTTGTATTACCCTTATTCACAGCAGTAGTAATCTTGGAGGACTTAACAATACCGCCGACTCACCAACACAGACCAAAACAGTTGAAACACAGGAAATGCAATGATAAAAAAAAAAACCTGGAACCATTATGGACCATAAGGGGCAAATGACCAATGAGCATAAATGTTGATAAATGTCCATAAATGTTGTTGATTGTCGAGTGTCCTGGATCATCACAATTCTCCTGCTTCTTTTGTGTACTTTCATCTCCAAGTATATCATAATTTTACTCTGATCATATCCTGATTAAGACTTTGATTCCTGTCCAACATGCATCTGACGAACGCCTGACCTGCTGCTACCATTGTTATGTGCCACTGACCACTCCTGTCTCCCCTTCTTCATAATCAGATTGTTATAGTTCATAAGATAGGAAAGAAATTTACCTCAAAAATAGAGTCCATGTAAGTACTAACCTTGCCCTGCCCTGCTAAGCTTCAGAGGTCTAACGGGATCTGGCTTTCACATGCAGATGGCTCCACATATAGAAGTAAGGAACCCCAACTTTAACAGATATTGACATGCCTCTTCTATTATACTGTATATGTTGAATTCTAATCATCAGACAAGGAAAGTTTACAGGAAAGTAGTACTAGTAGTTCATCACGCTTCTGCAAAGTTTTAAGATACATTTTTGAGTGTTAGTTGATGGATAATAATTGCCCTTCTTAGTGCTCATACTTTTGTGGGATGAGTGACTTTGACTTGAAAGCTCTGCATATTACTAAAAACAGAATAGAGCTGACTTTGTTCTCCATCACTCACAAAAAAGAAAAAAAAAAGAAAAAGAAAGATTGAGCTGGAGGACAGCTGCTGCTATGGCAACCGCACTGGTGCACTGACAACGTGAGGGATTTGGAATGTGCAGTAAAAAGACAATTAATGCTTTTTAGCGCAGGTCGTTGGTTCAGGGCTGCATGCGGCCGGTTATTGGTCTGTGTTGGAGTCATCTCGTAAACACGGGTGGACACGGCGGCACTGGGGCTTTACAAGTGGAAACGGCGCACGGCTCAGGTCTCCGCTGAGGACTGGCCTTCACGCCGCTGTCTGGTGCAACGGGCCGTTTTATAATGGAACTAGCACCAAAGGGACGCACCGTGGTGTTGTGATATGAGAGGACACGCTCCAGCCCTGCGTTATGGCTTTGAGCTACACACGCTATTAGGAAAGTTACTGAGTGTTCTTGATTCAATGGCTGTGAGAAGGTTTTCATCCAAGATTTTGTTTATTTCAGAACAGGATCGACACAAATCCACCAAACACAGTAACACACATTCTTGCGTACATGCTCCGAAAAGGTTGGAGATGTTGTGTCATGTTAGAAAAGATTGGCTTTGTGAGGCAAAGACAGACAGCCTTTTGTTTTGACCACTTAAAATACTTAATATCAAAATTAATTATGTATTTACAAAAGTATTTGTGTAAAGAAACGAGTACTACCTGACGTGGAGTAAACAATATACAAAAAATTAACTACGTAATTTTAATATCCTACGAGAACCGATCAAAACAGTTTAGTTCTATCACATTTATGGCCTCTGTCACAACTTTGGATCATCTTTTTCAGACAGAAAAGTGAAAAAGAGAAAACCGCCCTCACTCAGACAATCCGCTCTCAGTCCAAAGTGTCAAATAGTGACTCAATGGGCTCCTTATACTGTATGTAAAGGAAAAAAAAAAGATGAAAGCAGAATGTTGTGGTGTAATTTGTTCACATAATTTTAATTTTACAAGACTTTCTGTGTGTTGTTATTTATGAGATTTTTTATTTCAGATTTACCAGCTTTAATTAGACCCCCGCCTTTGTCAGATTATGCAGGCGCTCATGTGATAAAACAGCATTAAAAAAATCTTAAACATGTAGCTGTGGACAGGTCAGATTTACTGTGTAACTGACTGGGTTTACGAATCATATCTATGCAAAAACAGTAGAGGATAATCAGTTATGTCCAAGCACTTCGGCTGTGAATTTTCTTTCCATATTGCAGAAGTATCATTTTTTACCAAAGCTTTCTTTAACAGTAATATGCTACTGAAAACGGTTTGCTTAAAGGTTAGACACTAATGGATTTCCCAGTTTTCAGATGACTCAGTGTAATAACAGCACAAACCACTCAATGATCATGTTCTATTGCATTTCGCTTAATACTTAAGCCTTTCTCAAATCTGCTGTGGATTCTCACAAACCCACTTGGTATTTACTTGATATTTGTTCTTGGCAAATTTCAAAATTTTTCTTCTTCTGTTTTTCTTCTATTTTTTAACACTGATGTATTTTTTGAGTGTGATGTTCCCGCGACTTCAGATCACTGTTTGTGGATGTGAAGAACCTCTTGTGCAGAGTGAACAGGGTCTATTCGTCTGAATGGTGATGCTGAGTGATGCGACAGGCTGCTGTGTGTGTTTCCAGGTCGACTCTTGTCTCTGTAGATGGAGGTTTGAGATGGAGCACAGAGCCCCGCGGAGCAGATGTTTGTTCTCACAGCTGCAATAAAAAAGTGTGTAGTTGTAGTGGTTCGAAGTTGCATTCTGTTGTATTTGGAAAAGTGGATGAAGTGAAATATTTGCTTCAAATAATTGAAGTGCTGTATGAATAAGGCACTAAAGTGAACTTATTAGGGATTAGTATGGGCTTAAGATAAGAGAACCTTTATTTGTCCAACAGAGTTGCAGCGCACACTCAGGACATTAGTAAGAGCAAGGAGCACACACAATATACGAAGAAGACTAGTGTTTGCACTGGTTTGTAGATGATGTGTGTTGTGTTGAACTTCCTCTAACACATTTCCCATGATCCACACAATGTTGTGATCCACGCAATGATACACTATTTCTCCACTATCATGCACATAAAGAATATGAATATGTACAGAAAGTACATGAAAGTACAGTAGAATATACATAATGCATATCACATTATTCTCCTCTCAAATCCAATTTGTAACGTATTACAATTTGGTTCAAATAGGTTTTAAATTAACTGCTGATCTTTTATGTAAGGAACAAAGAACAAGGCTAACCGCTGTGCCGCCATGACACTGATGTCGATATTCACTACCAGTATCATATTGGTGCATCCCAAGTCCTGACAACTGTCTTTGGATTAGTTCTCGAATCTGAGTGAGTAGGACACAGGTTAAGTGTGCTATTGATAGTGTCAAACTTCTGGGTGATCATTTCTGTTAGAAATGTAAATGATGTGAACAAATGAGATTGTGATGAAATCTTCAGTGTTGACGCAAAACCATAGCTGTTTTGTTTTCTACAGACATCTATTCATCTGGGCAATGATACAAAAAAATACAAAAACTTGAGACTTGAGTTAGACTTGCAGGAAAACATCTCTGTCTCAAATGAAAACAGAAAGCACTACACAGCAGAAGATGAGTCATTCCATGGAAAGTTTATTTTGCACCAAGCTATTTTTTCCTTCTCTGAACGCCGTCCGAGTCCCTTGGGTGAAGTCTCGAATTAGATGAACTGGCGTACCCTCGAGTGGCTACATGCGGTGGTGTTCAGCCGCGGCCCACCAGCTCCGCACCATCAATGTTTTACTCTATGCTCCAGAGAGAAGCCAGCCTGCATTATCGTGCACTGTGCCGGCTACCTTTTCTCCCATCATGCATTTTTAAAGTTGCTCTCTTTGGTGGTCACGATTCATCCCATTAAGCAGTTAAAACTAGTCATTGTGCATTATGTTAGTAGGCGGAATCAAAGTCAAACAGTTTTGTAACATAACATTAAATCAGCTGCTAATTGTGTTGATTACAAATAAACAGCCAGATTAAAGGTGAATTTCAGAAACCTAAGTTGTTTTTCATTTTTAAAAGAATGTATATTTCTAACCATGGGGCACTGTACTATTATGTACAGTAACTATTTTTCAACAAACATTATTTATTTAAAAGTCTCTTCTAGGGCTGCACGATACATAGGAAAAATATTGTTATCGCGAAATTGGTGCGTGCGATATGCATATCAAAAAGATCTGCCATAAAAAATAATTATATATATATTTTGTTTTTACATTTTTTTTCCTTTATTAAAGACAACAAAACAGACAGACGCATCAACATTCAACAAGAACAACAAACACATTTTTTTTGTTATTTGTCTCTTGCGTTTCAATGCAGATTGCTTATAGGTGAAAGACAAAAATATCGCAATAATATCGTTATCACAAAACTAAACACTCATATCAAATACCGCACTAATTTCCAATATCGTGCAGCCCTAGTCTCTTCCCTTGGCCTAACTACAGCCAGTAAGATTTGTCTGAGGAGAACAGTTAAACCAATGACATAGGGCCTTAGGGAGTTGATTGATGGTGTTATTTTCAACCAATCAGAAGGCTGATCTGGAGTGTCTCGTCTTCACAAAGTTATATTCTTCTCTTCACAGTTTGAAAAGAAATTGACATTCCTTTCAGCTGTATAATTAGACAGTGAAACAGTACAGTAAATTATGACCCCCAAAATGTATTGCACCATCAAACATATAGTAATTATTGAGGCCTATATGTTAAACATTACAAATTTAACATAAACAGTGTACATGTATATATCTAGGGTTGTATGTTAAAGTATAAACCTGTATTCCTTCTTAATTTCTATGTCACGAGTATTTAGGCCATTATCTTAGAGCGGTGGGTTGAGTGCTGTACAAACCGCCTCTGCATTAGACTGTCACACTCGGCTGCCTGTACAAGCTCCTGCTGGGTTATGGCTGCATTAACATATGGAGATCGTTTACATTATGGACTCACAAAACAGCGCCTTGAAAGTTTATTTGCTGCATTGATTGTCTGTTGTTTTCCCTCTTTATTGATACGAACTCCCGTCAGCACTAAGTAAGAAAAAAGTGTTTGGAGTTCAAATGGAGCTGTGGGAATTTCTGTGGTTCAGCACTTGAAAGGAATAAGCCTGAAGCTGTGTTTTTCTTATGCTGAAAGAAAGTTGTTTTTTCGTACCTATGTGCTCAGTGCTCCTTTTCCTCCCCTCAGTGCAATGGGCTTTTGTATTAGACTGTATTTTTACATTCACCAGAAATGTCATGCTACTGTTATTACATTAAATGTGACAACTGTTTTTTTTTGGCTTTGAAAATATGTGTAACTACTTTCAAAGCCAGTCGGTTGAAGAGGCTATTTTCTCTTCAACCGACTGTTTTGATGTAAGCTTGTTATCCAAAAGTTTTCTTACAACATCTTGAAGTCATATAAACAAGTTAATGAAGCCAGAACAAATAGATGATAAGTGCAGTTGTGCGATTTTCTAGAAAATAATGGATGTTGTAATACTCCCGTTGTTTGTGTAGTGTCTAAATGCTGTTTCTGAGTTTTCCATTTATCCAGTCATCTTTAACCTTATAATCTTACCTTTCATGGTTGCTTTGCCTTGACAAAATTTCAAAAAAACATTTCTGTACTTTTCAAAATGTTTGCAACAGAAACAACCTCTCTCTGCCCACTGGAGATGTTGCCATGGTTACTGCTTATAATGTACTTCAGCATGTTATAAAATGTCTACATGATTAATACATCATTTATACCCCTCCACACAGATACAAAAAGTTTCTTACTGTCCCCATTTTTTGTCATACTGTGGATGATATCAAGCCAAACAATAACACACAGATCAGGGGTGTCAAACTGAACCCAAGCAAGAGCACGCCAGACTCAGGTGAGTTTTAACCTGAAGATTTGATGAAATGGGTCGAGCCTGGTTTGTTCTTGCTTGGGTTGGAACTAAAACCTGCAGCCACACTCTCTCTTTCTGGAACCGGTGTGACACCCCTGACTTAGATGGACCCAAGCAATAATGGTTTCTCCACCAGGACAGATGCGTGTAGTGCAGCTTTAAATAACACCAAATAAAAAGCCTCCTCACTTCTGTTCATGCTGCTTTAAACTTTAAATTGTATCTGTATGTCAACTTGTACTTTAAGTTTTTTTAAATTTACTTTTTTACTTGTAATGTAAGGCGACCTTGGGTGTCAAGAAAGGCAAACAAGAAATAAAATGTATTATTATTATTATTATTATTATAACTCTGCATGGGGTGAGAATATGGCGCATGCTACCTGACTCGGCTTTTCTAGTCAGAATAATCTGGTCCAATCGAGTAGAGACCTTGCTGAGAAGTGAGAATGCTCATCACTGTAGTAAACCCACATCTTGTTTACTTTGAGCATTTTATTTTCGGACAAACTGCTTCATGCACAAGTCATGTCATTTAAGTAGCACAAATGAACGCTCCATGTTCTCTGTAAGTAGCCTATGTACAGCACACGTACATATCTATTATTAGTAAGGCTTTTCCCCATGGACTTAATATATCTACCTGTCTTCACTCGGCAGTATCCAGGTTATGCTATTACACATTGGATTAATCAGTAAAGTCCCCAACCACATGTCATAAGGATTTAGGGAAATTCATGGAAACCAAACTGCAACACCTCAATGGCATGCCATTTTTATTTATTTATTCATTTTATTTGAACAGTTAATACTGCACAAAAGGAGTAGGCTGAAGCAAAAAGCTTGTTAGCACCGCACCCCTAAAGTCAATTACAATCAAACTTGACATATTATAATGAAAATAGTACAGGACAAGGATATATTGGCACACAAAAGAGCTACATCTGCACATCCTGAGTTATAGAATAATCAACAATCGATTTACAGAGTAAAGAATATGTCATGACTTTGACTTCACTGACCAGAGAGAGACCAGAGAGAGACCAGAGAGAGACCAGAGAGAGACCAGAGAGAGACCAGAGAGAGACCAGAGAGAGACCAGAGAGAGAGAGAGACCAGAGCCTCACTGACAAAAGGACAAAATAGATTTTAAGTTTATGATTCAAGGCAGTTTCAGTAACACTAATTTGAACTGTTCTTCTTATTCTTATTACCAGAGTGAGACACAACAACAGTCTGGTTAAGACAGATCTCCGCAAAGCAAGAGACACAATATCACCATATAATTATTTTAGATATACTGACAACAAGTTACTGAGAACGGATTTAACCCATTTAGCTCAAAAAAGATATGTTGCCGCTAGAAAGCAGAGTATTTGCGTATTTGGAGTTATCCGATTCTCTCTCCTCATGTAGACCCACTGACTTTGCTTTTGGTCCAACTGAAACACGTCCGACTGCTGCATCACTATTATCAAAAGTCCATCTGGTCTATTCCTCTACTACACTGACAGCACAGTGCACAGAAGAGCAGCCGAGCCTAAGGATAGTTTTGGATCAAACGTTAAACTCCGTGTGAACACATTTCGCTCGGCACAGCAAAACTATAGAGTAGGTCCGTAACTTTTCCACGCTCTTTCACTTTTAAATTACTATCTGAACTCCGTGTAACCCCTGTTGATATCACTGCTTTTGAAGATTCTGTTTTTCTTGTTGCAACTTTTGAGACTTC